ATGTAATTGACACCTATAACCTTATGAGGAGTGGCACTATTAGGAGATGCGGCTTTGTTGGAGTAGATGTGGCCTTGGAGGAAGTGTGTCACTGTGGGGCTGGGCTTTGAGGTCTCATATATGCTCAAGCCACGCCCAGTGTCTCAGTTCACTTCCTGTTGCCTACATGATGTAGAACTCTCAGCTACCACACCAGCACCATGTCTGCCTAACTGTCACTGTGTCCCACCATGATGACAACTGGCCGAACCTCTGAAACTGTAAACCAGCACCCAATTAAATGGTCTCCTTTATAAGACTTGCTTCCTCGTGGTGTCTCTTCACAGCAACCCTAGTTAAACAGACCAGCCTTCTTCATTCCTTTCTCTCTGTGTATTGGATGCCTCCTCCATGTTTTCTCGGCCATGATAGTCTCTCTCATTTTAGACCCCATACAACAGAGTAAGGAGGTCAAGGGACAATTCCACGAATAAAGCAAATCTGTTTTTTACATTGTGCTTGTTGTTACAGTAAAAAAAAAAAGTTTAAGCCACACTGAAGCTGTAGTAATATCCAAGGTGATGAATTGAAAGCAGTGTCTCCCTCTCTTCCTCCTCTCCCTGTTCCTCCCCGCTCACTTACAGATCCTGTTCCTAATATCCCTTTATTGCAAACCAAGATGGAGCTCTTGATTTTCATATACCTGATTGTTTATTCTAGTACAATGAAAACGCAAATGAATATTATCATCTTAAGTCTAAAGGAAATCATCTCCAGTCTTGAAAGCTCACCTGGGCATTATGAGCACATGGTCCTCCAGCTGGCTTAGATATAGCTGAGCCCTATCTCCTGCAATGGTTAATGTCAATCGGTGAATGTATTATCTTAAAAATCCTTTTAACCACCTAGGGAACAAAACAACCACTGTGTGTGAATGACTGCGGAAGAAGACTTAGCAAATAGTGTCCCTTTCCCCTCTGTCCACAGGCACACTGTCATCAGACATGAACTGGGGACAGCTTGCTTCTCTGCTCCTTGGCACAGGGTTTGGTCATGGGATTTGCTCATGTAATACAGTCAAAAGCATCTAAGCCATTTCCACAGATGCCACGAGTTTCCCTTTGACCGTTTCCACTCTACCATCACTACCAAAAGCAATTGACCCAGCTCATTTGTTGTCCCAAGAGAAAGCCAAGAAACACAATGGAGTAAAGCCGCTCTGCAGATCACATTCCGAAGCCAAGATGGATCCGCTGACCAGCAAGCACATGAGGATACATCAGTTTCTACTGTGTGCCGCTGAGAGTCTATGGTTCTTTCTAGAGAGCATTATTGCAGCGGTAACTAATTAAAGCATTAATCCTGTATATAGGTATTAATGTATAGTGGAAGCATTCTATTGCATGTATTAGAAACATATAACAAAAGTAATTATTTTTACCTTATTCCTAGAAGAGCTAGATGGTCTCATGAAAAGAGGCACTGGGGTATGATGTCACCCTCTGATGCTGAGTTTCCCAGGAGTCACTGTGAAAGACCCCCAGTGAGGGGAGACTCTCACTCAAGTCTAGGGATAACATGCCCCCCCACCCCAGTAACTCATAAGAGACCGTCCTTGCTGCAATCACACAAGGTTTATTGACAGGACAGGAATCAGTGCACTGGGGCTGAGACTCATAACCCACGCAGGGGAGGAGTTCGACCCCTAGTGACTGGGAGAAGGGGTTTTAAGGGAAGAAACCACAGCCCAGTAATCCAAAGGGGGTAGGGAGGGCGTCACAGAAAATTCCGAAAATATCAGTGAAGACCACAAGGGGACAACTCCCTGTTTCTCAAGATTATTCTCTCTCTCTCTTTTTTTTTTTTTTTTTTTTTTTTTTTTCGAGACAGGGTTTCTCTGTGGCTTTGGAGCCTGTCCTGGCACTAGCTCTGTAGACCAGGCTGGTCTCGAACTCACAGAGATCCGCCTGCCTCTGCCTCCCGAGTGCTGGGATTAAAGGCGTGCGCCACATTGCCCAGTTTATTCTCAAGATTACAATCTAACTTTATCTTCAGTTAGTTCCTGAAACAGAGTCACTGAACCGGCTAATCTTAGATTTCTGATTCTTCCCTCCCTGCTTAGATTTTTGGGAATATTTTTTCCTGCTGGGGGGGGGGGTCTGGATTTACCCAGGTCTTTTAACTGAAATATGTCTAATACCTGCGGAAGTCTCCTGACTCTAAAGTAAGAGGTTTGTAGGAATTGAACACAGCCAAATTAAATATCGATAAAGCTTTATGCCAAGTAGTCGACTGCCTTTGACACAGGCTGCGGGTGTACTGTGTTGCATCCCACTGGAAGTGTAGTGGGGACCCAGAAGCCAGCACCCATCCTTGAATTCAGAGCTTCGAAAGCGCGCCTTGTGGAGGCTCAGGGGCCAAAGGTCAGAGAGTTCTGGACTTGTTTTCAGTTTGAGATTATTGTGCTTCTAACTCAAACAAAGGTTCCACCTAGTTGTAAATCAGAGTTCTGCTCTCTCAAGGTTATTGTAAACAGGTGTAGCTAGCTGCCAGACCTCCTGAAATAGGGAAGGAGTTGGTTCCTACCTAAAACAAAAGTCTTAGGATCCAGCTAAATTCTAGTTCCCTTTATGGAAATAACTTGGGACTCCATCCAGGGAGTGGTTTGCCCACAGAGTGTTTGGTCTAGGGCCTGAGTCAAGGGCTTGCGCGCTGAATACACTGAGACTTTCAATTTGTGTGTTAATGTAGTCCTTTTGTTCTACTCCTACCTTTTGAAATCAGGGGTATATTAACCAGTTGGGAATTAAACATGGACAAATTTTCAGTAGTCACTGAAATTCCCTCCCGATACGATCCTATGTGTTTCTGCATTTTACTATTTTTGTTTGCATCTTTGTACTCTTTACTATATTTCTAGATTCCCACACCTACACTCTGGAAGAAATCTTATGGAGGCTGGCCCCCGACAATCCCTGAAGAGAAAACCAAGAACAATTGAGAAAGTAGGCCCCATCCTCTACTTTGTGTCACTCACCAGCAAGTCTCTTTCTGTCTCTGTCTCTCTCTCTCTCTATCAGCTTTATTGAATTCATAAGTAAAGAGAGTCCATTGCCAGTTTCAAACCACATGTGAGTCATTCTGAGGAAGGATAATCTCTCCTGATGTATCTTGGGAAAGTAGAAAGAGGTCTAGAAAGCACAAGAAGCTCCAAAGGAGAGGAGACATCACTTTTCCAGGCCACCTTTGCACAAGCTAGCTCACACAGCCTTCTGCTGAAACCTCTTTCTTCCATTCCCCTGAACAGATTGTGTCTGCACTTAACACAGGAACTGTGTGACATTGAAATCACTCCTTTGCATTTTGTCTCCTGTAGAAGACTGTGGCTTCTCTGAAGGGTTGTGGCACAATGCTGGGTATATCTTATGGATGAATAAGTACTAGGGACTATGGCCTCTGCCCCATGTCTCAAACAGGAACATATCAAACCAAATGGAGGTAATCAAGATGAAGATGCTGCCGTCCCATGGAAAACCTGTCTGTAGCTTCAAGTCCATTGGAGAGTGAAGGTTTGATTCATTGCTAGAACACTGTGACTCCAGGTGACAGACACACAAATATTTGCTCCCTGAGGCCATTCCAAAAATGAAATTGTTTGCCAACTATTCTAGTATCCCTGAACAGAAGCCTACTGGATACTTCCACTGTAATGAATGTACAATTTTGGAAATCAATATGAAAGCTATGGCCCTTTGTATGAAAAATAACTGTAATCATTTTGACAGTTTTAACAATCGACTCTTCTCTGTGCAGTCAAGAAAAAAATTCGAATTCCACTTCCCTAAGCAGAGAGGAGATATCTCACAATAAAAGAAATGACAAGTATAAATTAAAGGGGGAGGACTTTATCTTTTATTCCGTCAGTTGTGTGAAGACGTATTCTGAAGAGCTTGAGAGGCGGCTCAGCAGTTACAGGCTCTTACTGTTCTGGCAGATGGCCTGGGCTTGGTTCCCAGAATCAACATGAAGGCACCCAACTGCCTATAACTGCAGCTCCAGGGACACCCAGTGCCCTCTTCTGGCTACCACAGGATCCTACATGCACAGGGTGCACGTAAACTCACCCGGGAACATACACATGCATAAATAAAAATAAATGGATCTTTTTCAAGGAATGTATACTTTTTACATTTGAGAGTATAATATAATTTCATCATTTCTCTCTCCCTGTCCTCCCTCCAAACCTTCCCACACACCCCCTTGCTCGCTATATAATGTATTTTGACAGTTCTGAAAATCTAGAGTCAACTTTTAAGTGTTACATAATGACTCCTATCTCAAGAAAAAAAACAATATATACAGGGGCCCAAGGGATGAAGCAAGTGTCACGTGACATTCCTCCAAATAACTGAGACATTACAAATGACTTGCTCTCAAGAATACTTATCAGTATGTTGCATCTCATCTGACTTAGAAGTGCTACAAATATTTATGATAACAGAATATATTGCTTAGCACAATGAAGTCTGAAAAGGCTCATTGCCTCTAAATTTGGTTCAGCCTTCTGCTTCTTTTCATTTGTAGATTCATGGTTCCACAGCTCCGGACATCTGCCTTATTACAGGAGCAACGAACCATTTCTAGGTCGAAAGGTACGCTAGCATTGCGCAAGGCCAATGTCGGTGCTGCGAGCTTGGCTTCTGAAATGCTTTCTAGGACAAAGGCAGCCACTTCCTCTACTTTTCTTCTTAGCATTATAGCCCAGGTTAGAATCACTGGCAGCACTGTGGAGGACGCAAAGACCTCCCAGGTCACAGAGAGATGTCTTCAGTGACTCATGACCGTTCTAAACTGAATGACTTTTAAGGGGCCAGACATTTTTTAAAATTGTTTTTATTGAGCAATATATTTTTCTCCACTCCCCTCCCACTCTCTCCCCTCCCCTCCTACCCTCTCTCATGGTCCCCATGCTCCCAGTTTACTCAGGAGATCTTGTCTTTTTCTACTTCTAAGGGGTCAGAAATTAATTACCTTTGTTCATGTAAAACAAAAAGAAAGTGCCAAACACTCCAACAAAACAAAAGGCAAAAGTGAGTAGAAGAAAAAAAAATAGAGTTTAAGTTAATAGCTAAAACTCAGACCTGGATAGATGACCCCAGAAAAGTGAACCCCATAGCACGTGTGTTCCTTTAGCATCAACTATTGTGTGTGATTTCTGAGGCTTTTTCTATTACTAAACATAAAAACATTTATTTCTTCTTCCTCGATGAAGGATTCTGATTCTTTAGCAATTGTAGCTGTTAACTAGCATCTCAGATACCCACATTCCTTAGATGTAAGCAAGTAGCTCTTAGGGCTGGATTTCTCCTCTCCTGCAGGAGGGCTCTGATTCCCCTGCTGTTTCCTTCCACCCAGAGGAACTCCTCCGTTCGCGCTCTTGCCGTGATCTCCACGAGCGCCTGCTTGCTTTTCCTTTCCTTCTCTCAGCTAGCAGTGTGTGCAATTTATAATCAATGGCAAAGAACAATGTTTTTTCAGATTTTGGCACACATCAGAGCACAAAGAAGGGGGGGTCCTTGTGAAAACAGACTACAGAGGCAGCTCAATGCTGGGGTGAGACCCAGGATTACACGTCTGACAGGTGCCAAGTAGCTCGATGCTGGTGCCCGAGGGCTTCTCCATCACAGCGCAGGACATTTGTCAACAGGGGAGTGTAGCAGAATTGCCAGAGTCTCAGCAGCTGCAGCTTGTGACCGATAAGTAAAGCACTTGTGGGACTGGAAATAAAACACATGGTTGTGGGGATGTGGTCGAAGCACCCGCCATGCGAGCGTGAGGACCAGGCGTTCCCATAGCCAGCACCCAGTTGAAAGCTGGAGGAGCACAGCTTCCCACCTGTAATCACAGTGATTGGGAGGCAGAGACAGACGGTCCATCCCGGAGCAAGAACACTGGCTGGATGGGCTGAGTCCTGGAGCTGCAGAGGGAGATTGTGCCTCAGTGAATAAAATGGGGACCGATGGTGGTAGATGCCTGATGCTAACTGACCTCTGGCCTCCACAGGCATGCATGCATACTTATGTGCAGCTCTATACACACACACACACCACACCACACACACCATACACACATACATACAAACACACATGCACATACACACACGTACACACATACACATATAAGCACATACACACACACCACACACATACATACAAACACACACGCACACACACATACACACATACACATATACACACCACACACATACATACAAACACACATGCACACACATACACACCACACACACAACACACACATACATACACACATGCATACACACAGCACACACACATACACACATACACACACATACACATATACACACATACACATACCACACACATACACATACATACACACGCACCTACACCTACACACATGCACACACACACATGCACACACACACACGTGCACATACACACCACACACATACATACACATACACAAACATGCACACACACAACACACATATACATACACACACATACCACAAACACATACACACTCACACACACACACACACCACACCCCGCAATGGCTGCTTGACCATAACTGAAATGTCAAGTGCACAATTCAGAACTAAGAAAGGTAACTGGAGACCAGCTCTGAAGACTCTGACACTGACTCTACCCCACGCTCCAGCCGCCCCCACTCCCACTGTGTGTGCCAAGTTTTCACGCCTGCATCTAGGTTCTTTATTTTCTTCTACTCACTTTCCAGCGCTGTTTTGATTTGTGCTGACCTGACATTTCTGGAGTGTCAGTCTAGAATGTCACATCCTTTTAGTAGGCTTGTTTGTTTTTCTTTTTATTCCCAATGGCTCTTCAAAGGCAAACAAACAAAACCCTCTGTTATTTGGATGTTGTTCTCCCTATGGAATGAAGCCTTGCCAGGAGGATTTGTGATCAAAACCTTCTGAGCCATTCCACGCTCACCCAAAGTCCCGTTCCCTGCTTGAAGACCCTGAAATAGATTTTTTGAAATATCAGGGTGAAGTGTAAGTGATTTTGTCTTTTTTGCTTTTTTGGTGCAAATACCCAAAATACTATTAATTACCATCTTAGCAAACAGAGAGAACGCTATTCCCCCAGAAACAGAGACCACACCATAATTTCACTTCAAGGGATATACACGATGACTTGCAGCGGGGTTTGCAACATCAAAACTGAAAGCAAGTGAAATACCCTTCTGTGGCTTCCACGTAAAGATGCCGCTGTCTGGCTGTGTGGGATCCGTCGTCAGGCAGAAAATAAAGACAAAGAAAACAGCAGTTTTTACCTGCTTTGGCCCAGCAGCTACACACATCACACCAAGTCCAACTGGCAGTGGTTGTCACGGGCTTCAGCTAAACTAGAAAACGGTAGAAACAGAGAGAGTGTAGATACAGCAAGTGAACTCTGCGTCTCCTGTAGAAATAAATTACTGCAGAGTCAGTGTTTTGTTACATTTGAGGGAGAAAAGATGAAGCTACAGTAAGATGAATAAAACAGGACCTCATGCATGCACATGCGCACACACAGTTAATGTATTGTTCTTATTTCTTGTCTGCGACTGTGATCAAAAGCAAATTACAGAAGAACATGGCTTATTTCAGTTCATAATTCCAGATCACAGTCCATCACTGAGAAAAGCCAAGGTAGGGCCCTCAAGGCTTGCCAGTCCACAGAGCACTACCTCTGACCACGGAACTCACTCTCAGTCAAAGAGATTTAGCTGAGACCATGGAGGATACCGAAGGATAATGCTCCTCTAACTCTCTTATGTAGTTCAGAACCATTTGCCTATGAAAAGGTATTGCTCACAGTGGGCTGGGCCTTCCTGCTTCGATTAACAATGAAAACAATCCCCTACAGACAATTCCTCAACCAAGGCTTTCCTATCAGATGGCTCCAGGCCGTGTCCACCTACAGTTAACCTAACTTGAATACACATGAATAGTACCTATATTTATATACAATTTCACTTAACAAATAAAACCTCTTTTGTTTCTAATTAGCTTCTCCCCAAAGACCAAAATATAGATGAAAAGGAAGAATAATATAAACAAAATTCATGACCAAATAATTTGTGTTTTATTTTATTTTGTCTCAATATCCTATAATACGTGTATTTACATGTGAGTATGTATGTGTATGTGTGTGTAGTTTAGTACGTGGTAAGTTGGGAATGATTTTATATAAAGTAGTTCATGGATGTGTCTAAAGAAAGCAAGAAAGAGGTACACTTTCATAGGAAAAGGGTGTCCTGGACCAGGCTCTACAATCGTTACATGTAAGTACTCTTCTATTTTCCAGGCTTATTGTCAGTACAGATGTGAAAACTAGGTGCACTGATGAGGTTCAGTGATGAGACCATGCAGAATCTCAGGGTCACAGAGTTGAAATGACTCAGCAAGGATGCACTTTCAGTCACCCCAACCCAACCAGTGCAGAGATGCAGAGGTGTAGGCTGACCAACCCAACCAATGCACAGATCTAGAGGTGGAGGCTGACCTACCAACCTAAGCAGTGCACAAATCCAGAGGTGGAGGCTGACCTAACCAACCTAAGCAGTGCACAGATCCAGAGGTGGAGGCTGACCTACCCAACCTAAACAGTGCACAGATCCAGAGGTAGAGGGTGACCTACCCAACCAGTGCAGAGATGGAGGCTGACCTACCAACCTAAGCAGTGCACAGATCCAGAGGTGGAGGCTGATTTGCCCACAAATGGCACCTGGGAAACTTGCAGTCTATATGGGAAAACAGTCAGAAGAGCAATATGTCAAAGCATTTTAAAATAAAGACTTGAATACCTTCCCCTTCTTCCTGTTGCCTCAGAATTGGCACGGTATCAGTCAGCAGGCAGGGTCATAGAGTTCCGAAGAGGCATTGTCTGGAGTCTGCATCCTTTGGACTCCACATTCAAAGAGACCTTGACCACTCATGTGTCTCTTTCCCTCCGTGAATTTCTGAAGCCAACCAGAAGGCTGTTAAGTCGAAGCCCAGTCTGAAAGCCTTAGTGCTCACTGTGTCCTATAATTGTACCCTTAGGTTCCACTTAACCCAACAGAAACTACACGGAAACCAAAGTTGGTAACGACAGAGATCCAGAAGGCGGGCGGCTGTAGCCTAGTCTGACCATTGGATGACTGACAGCTATGGGACAGACACAAAACTCAGAAGGGGAGACTCACTTGCAGATCTTTGAAATGATTGTGAGTAATATCAAATGTAGATGATTATTTCATATGTGGTACTTATCTGAAATTCTCATATGCTCAGAAGTGTGTTGGACTGGACCCTCCTGGCTGAATAGCCCACAGCTACTGTGGAGACTCTTAAAGAGGTTTGAGTGGTTCTGGCAGAGAGCCCCAATGACCCAAACACCTTAAAATCTCCTTATCTGGCCCTCATGTGACTGCTGACCCCTGGGCAAAGGACTCAGAAGCAGTCTCTGGCTGCAGCTTACAGAAAGTTCTAAACTGATTTTGCTGAGGGATTTCTTATTTGTGGACTATCTCTTGCTACATCTGTTTTCCGAAATTGGAAGTTGGCGGTTTTATTCCCGACCATCAACCCTGAAGGTGGGAACACTCATGGAAAGGAAGGAAGGACTAAGGGGAGGTTTCAGTTTGCCTGTGTGACAGTCTGGGTGAAAGGAAGGATGAGGGCTAAGCATCATTCCTTTCGGAGGCAGACAAGGATGGGGCAGACAAGTCTGAGACAAGAACATCACCCATTACTAAAATTCCCCACAATCTCTACACTGATTTAGGGGATGGGGCAGACAAGTCTGAGACAAGAACATCACCCATTACTAAAATTCCCCACAATCTCTACACTGATTTAGGGGGTGGGGGGTGGGGTGATAATAAATAAGCAAATTAAAAGATAGACAGTCAGTTAAGAATCTTTGTGTTAGTGTTACATATACTAAGGATAAGCAGTGTAAAGTTACAATTCCCAAAGCCTTGGGGAATCAACACACGACATCATTTCACTTGGAATGCTAAAGCAGGTCAGGAGTGGTTGCTGGCCGGCACAGTCTCCTACGGTGAACGAACAGTGCCCTCTAGTGGCTGAGCAGGGGAAAATCATAATTTGATGCCTTTTTCTAAATTTGGAATGTTATTTTTATACTTGTTTTGCTAGAGTGGAGTTGTGTTCTTGGTACAGTTCTGTGCACAGGCAGGTCCTGGAAGGAGCGTAACTGTGATGAATCAGAACCTGCAGCAGGCCCCCTCTCAGTGCCCTGAGCCCCGGGCATCTCACAGCATAGTGTGTGAAGATGGAATCAATATAAGAAGGGGCAACTAAACACCAGACACACGGCTGGGAGGAAAGCGGTGCTTGCTGAACCTGAAACATGAAGTTAAGCCCACGAGAACAGCAGAAACAACATGTCCCAGTTCTGGTGAGGTCACAGAGGTAAACCCTGTGGGCTACCACTGTTTCCCGGTTCCTCAGTATTGTGGCTGCCGGTCACCAAATCACCCACAATTCTCCTCCTTTCTCAGCAGCTGAATTCGGCTGGAATGAGAAGCTCAAACCCAGGCTGCTGGGATCTGAACTTCTCCTGAGAGCAGCAGTTTAAATGGCCCGCCCAGGAATTCTTTTTATTGCTACTGCAAGGAGTTCTGTCTATTTGTTTATTTATTTTGAAGTTAAAATATAAAGAGATGATTTCCTTCTTCCCTTTCCTTCTCCAACCCTCCCCGTGACCTCCTTGGCTCTCTTTCAAATTCATGGCCTCTTTTTCTTTAATTGTTACACACACACAGACACACACACACACACACACCTATCTATGTATTCATATATAAATACAATTAGCTCAGTCCATATAATGTTACTTGCACATAAATAATTTCAGGGTTGACCACTTTGGACGGAAAGCCAATCAGGGGGCTTTTCCCTGGGAAGCCGGATCCCACGCTCAGTATTCCTTACGGTGGCGATGGACTCTGTTCTTCTTAATGTGTTGTTATTTTTGTGTGCAGCAAAGCTCCCCTGTGGTCTCCAACCACAAGAGGACACAGTCTTGACATGCTGAAGGAGACAGAGAAAAAAAATAGAAAGCACTTGAATTATTTTCTTTTTATTTTTGAGAATTTCAACCATAAGTACAGTGAAATATTATGTCTACCCCTGCACCCCACAACATACCCAGCGCTACCCATATGCACATGGGCATGGGTATGGGGCCATCTATTGGAGAAGAGGGATCCCGGGGGCAGGGCCACATCCTCCCTTCCCCAGCAAGTATCCACCGCCATAGCTGCTCAGTGAGGGGCGGGATGGGCTAGCGATCATCACGCCATCCACGCTATGACTCTGGCTGGCTGGACCTGTCAGTCTTGCGCTGGTAACAACAGCTGCCGGGAGTTCATGACTGTGAGAGCCACGGTCCGGTGCAGAGGGCAACATTCCACAGCCTTCCTCCCGTCCTCCGACTCTTACGTTCTTTTCACCCCCTCTCCCTCCCGCTATGCTCCCTGAGCCTTGTGGAGGTGTGTGTGGTGGAGCAGGCAATGCAGGAGTCCCCATCTAGAGCTGAGCCCTCGGCCTCTTAGTCTCAGTTACGCATCTCTCCATTGACCTGTTTCTAACCAGGGTTGAGAGAAGCCCAGGTCTCTCGGCACCAGAAGCTGATCGGGCACAGAAAGTTCAAACCCAAGCACCAGATTATTGACAGTGCCATTGGTGCTGTGGGCTCAGTCAACCCCAGGACTGCCCACCTTTGAGCTTCTTGCTGTCTGAGTGGTTATGCCCATTGCTTTTGAATCTAGTCTCCCCCAGCATCCTGCCATGTGCTGCTGTTTCTTCAACACAAGTTGTCACCACTGTCTGAGACCTCCATGCTTGGGGAGGCCTGGCCTTTTGGTCCCTGTCTTTCTT